AATAATAATAATAATAATAATAATAATAATAATAATAATAATAATAATAATAATAATAATAATAATAATAATAATATAATTATGAATATATATAAATTTATTAATTTGATAATTTTGATATATAATAATTACTTTTCAATTTAAAACTTGCCGCCACCACTACCAGAAATCACTTTTGCTGCGATTGCTGTTAATATTGCAGCTTTGTGATTTCCTGATAATTTGCAATATGTTTCATAAATAGATACGCCTAAATTTAATGAATAGGAGAAAAAAATTTATTAATTAAATTTTAATATTAAAATAACATATTATAAAATTTGGATGGATGTATGATACCTTTAGCATCTCTTATAGCACCTAATTTACTCCCTAAAAGAGCACCCAACATTAAACCAGGTATATTTCCACAAACAAATCCTAATATTGCTCCACATACTGCTCCAATTGGTGCATAAAACCATCTAGGATTTTCAACTTCTGGCCTTAACAAATCTTCAAACACATTACCAAAAACCGAATTTGGATCTATATGTTGTGGACGCCATGATTTTCTCCTAGAATTTCTTACAGTGTCTTTTTTATTTAAAAATATGTTTATATTTATAATTAATATTAATATGATCTTTTATTGTTGATATCCAACTAGTAAATATATCGATTAAATATATATTATTATTATTAATTCAAGTTCACCGTATTGAGCCCGCCTATGTTCGTCATTTAATACATAAAATGCATCAGCTACTTTTTGAAAACGTACTTTTGCTTCTTCTTGTGAAAGCGATGGATTTATAGCAGAATCTTCCGAAGCACCCTGTGCAAATCTATCTGGGTGTGTTTCTAAAGCCTTTCGTTTATAGGCCTCTTTTATTTCACTTTAATTATAACAATAATAATAAAGATAATAATAATTAAATTATTGTTTTGTTTAGATTTAAGCTGTTTAACACTTCATGTCATTGCTTACTCAATAGTTGCAGTGTCCTTAATCCCAAGAATTTTGTAGTAATCAGGAAACGGTTCCATTTTGTTGGAAAGTAATTAATTATTTTCATTTTGGTTCTAATTTTTTTGTATTAAAAAAGTTACACTTATGATATCATGTATAACATAATAAATAAATTCGCACACGTGCTTTGAACTATTTCTACATTTATAATCAATAATAACGCACATCTTTACTTCTGTGTACTTTTTTGTTATATATTTTTGGCAAACCAATCACCAATCTAACCAAGATTAATGACTAACTCCCAATATATAAAAAGCGCCTAGACTAAAGCTCTGAACGGATTTAACAAATACAAACAAAAAACAAACTGAAAATTTCAGTTTTGATTCGGATTTAGGTTATCATCATCATCACCATCATCACCACCATCATCATCGTTATTTGTTATTATGAAACGAACCGATAATCCAAAAATTTTTAACAAAAATAAAATTTACGCGACTTTCTTTGATTATTAATTAATTAATAAATAAACATGGTCACAACAGTGTGTAACATAGTATTGTCGTCATTTTACATAATTTGGTGAACCTATCATCTTTTTTTATTGCAAAAATCGGAAGTTTCTGATTGGTTCCTGAACCGAGACTAATATTAAAAAAAAAAAGGTATTAGTTTCTACTCTTTAATAATAATAAGCAGTGATCAGATGACAGATTGAATACCGTGGATCGCATCACTGCTGTAACAAAACCAGACAAATTGTGTTTAATTGTATCCACAATCATTATCATCCTTTCTCAATACTGTGGAGAAATTGACACCACTAGTGGCCTAACTGTAGTTCGCTATACATTTCACCTAATGTTATTTGACGAAATATTAAAGTTGTAAAAATATTTACGTTAAATTCGCCATTAAGTCGAAAATGACGCAAGTCAAATTGCTTCAAAGGCTAATAATAAAATTTATCGGGAAAACAAACTATTAAGCTATTTTTGGTTGCTTTGTTATTTTAGGTACAAAATGACGTCAATATAATTGATATACTATTTATACAACCATTTCTAATATAATTAAATCATACAATTAAACTTGATAAATAGTAGCGTTTGAAAGAATTGATTGTCCGATAACATCGATGCGATGGACAATTTCAATGACATCCAGGATGTCATGATTTTGGATGCTGCGCGCCCAATATCTTATACATAAAAAACATAAATATATATTCCAGGTCTCCTCTTTAATTTTAATTTTTATGTGTATATATTCCAATCTCTCCTTTCCTTTTGCTGAATATAAATTCAGTTCCACACGCTCATTTACTACTAAACTCGAGCATTTTTTTATATAACGTAATGATCGGGATAGATAAAATCATCAAGTACTTTATGTTCCAGGGTCAACTAATAATATCATTTTAAATGAAAATTTATGCAAAAGCTTTTTATAATCAAATTACTATGTAAATAATTATGTAAGTTTTATTGATTGATTAAGTCATTTTGCAATAATAATCCTTTAATTTTCCATCTTTATCAACGAAAATTTCATTTCTGGATCCTTGCTTGAAAAGCAAGATAATTAACATAAAACTTTGTGATAGAATCATTGTTTTTGTCTTTATTTTCTTTGTTTAAAGCGTTTTGATAAAAGCAACAAGCGCAGTGCCTTGGTAAAATGCAACGATTGTGGAACTAAAGCAAATAAAACCCACCAGATGCTAAGTTATATACCTTTGTTATTTGAAATTTGATTAAGGGGTGGTGCATTGCATTCACATGCATGCCCCTGATTTTTCCTTGATCAAATAATATCAAATAATAAAAAGGATACAGCTCCAAAATCCACCCGGATATGTTGAATAAAATGTGGCTTTTACCAAAGTGGACAAACAAAGTTAGGACTAGCTAATTAATAATGATTAGTAACGTAATTTGCTTTAATGAATAAGCAGGGTTAGGGCTAAAATTGATTGGTAATAGAGAACCAAAGTAAATTCATAAACTAATTAATTACCGAATTATTGTGCATTAACTGACGAGCAGCCCAAAAGTTAAAGCCATGCTTGTTAATAGTCAGTATTAACCAAAATGATACCTCGCAATATCACCATTTAACAAATATCGGAAAAATGTAAAAAGTTTATTATTTCAATAAAATAAAAAGATAAATAATTATAATGAATAAATTTATTCATTGATTCTTTCTTTTACTATTATTACTAGAATCTAATGTTTATCAATTAATTAAAAATATTGTTAGCAATGGATAGATAGTAATTTCAAATTAATTAATTAATAATTCACCTTTGTTAACAATTTAGGGAAAAGAATTAAAATCAAGATTATTTAATGAACTATAATTTGCATAACTTTTTAAGTTTTTAGATTTAGCAATCTCATCATCTAAGATTCTACTTGTATAATGCGCATCTGGGTGTGATTTGTGTACTTGTTGCAAATCACTACTACTATTACTGATATTATTATCACTATTATTGTTTTCACGAATTTCTTTATGTTTATTAATAGCAAACTCAAAAAGCTCTCTACTGGTTGTTCTTTTTGATGGATCCACATCCCAACATCTCTTCATCATTTGCACATAATCATCAGGCATTCCAGGTAATATTGGTGGTCGTAAACCTTCTTCACATATATCAAAAATTAAATGATGATCATGAGCTCTATCATCAAATGGTGGATAACCTGCAA